CGATCGACAAAGTCTCGTGTTTATTTCGTTTTAACGTTCGCTTTTGTTTATTTCATTCCGTTGTTAATTCTACTGGTCGTGAATATTTATGTTTATTGCGTTATTCGACGTTTGATTCGTGGCGAAACACGAGTAAGTCAGTCAAACGCGCGTCTAACAGATCACCCACGCCGATCAACAACGAACACTACGACATCGACTCGAAGTAGTTCAACGATTACAGAGAAATCTGATCGTATTCGCTCGATGAACTCTCTAAGCGGACATCCACGATTGATTCCACGTCGAACACTTGATATCATTCAATCCTATCATCGATTATCACGACTAAATCGATTAAGAGCCGATCGTCGTTTCGCATTAGCAACAACATTTCTTATTAGCGAATATGTGCTTAGCTGGACACCCTATGCTATCATTGCACTCATCTATCTCTTTGATATCGATCTGATTAGTCAACATTCGATCACTATGACTATATGTGCATTCATAGCCAAGATTTCTATGATTCTCAATCCATTTATTTACATCGCCACGACCAAGAAGAGCCAATTGGCAACGATCTTACTGTGCAAAGTTTGTTCGTGTTCGTACTGTCGACTGAAGAAGAACATCATTGCTTTGTAATCGTTTACTTTTGTTTGTGTTTGAAATAAAAAGAGTTTTGTGAAACACATGTGCTCTGCTTTGTTGTCGAACTGTTCCGATGAGTGAGATGGAACGATGATATCGTGAAAGTGTCCTGTTTTGTTAGTAGTGCAAGTGATGTCGGTGCGTCTTCTCCTGATTCATGGTTATTTTGACGTAGAAAAGATTTATATATAATAGTTCATGATGACTGGAACGAGATTTAGATCAATGAAATTAAGTAACTCTCGTCTTGAGATGAGCGGATTTGTCAAAGTGAAACGAAATAGGTACTTTTATATAAAGTTGCTCTGAGAGAACATCAGAGAAAGATTTTCATTGAATTTGCTATTTCCAAAAATGCTGATTTTCCTTTGTCAAATGGATTAAATTATCAGGAAGCATAGTTGTTGATATGATCTTTGAGTCATCGATCGGTCATAAATAGAGACCGAATAATGCGTTAACATCATAGATATCCGATTTCAGTGAATAACTAAATAATTATATTCCTGGTTTTCTCACTACGAACGAAACAAACGAACAGCCTTTACAATGATTTCCACGGTTCTTGGTTTGGATCTTTGACATCTGTTTTTTTTTATCAACTATCGGTAAGAGACGTCTTCAAGAGCAAGAAGGGAAGAATGGAAATGAGAACTATTGAATTACTGAACAAGGAGAGAACCTTAAACACGGTGAAATCCATCTTAGTTTCACTTGATCAATTTCAAGTTCTTTTCAATACCCGTCACCGAATATGATGAAGTATCGCTCCCCAACAATCTGTTCCTATTACTTCAACTTGAAGTCGACGCAGATTTGATGCAACAATGTTGGGTTGAGAGTTATAAACTTCAATTTTCTTCTCTTATTTTGCGTTTAAATCAGCCAATGATTCTAACAAACACAGTATCATCATAATGCAGACTACAGATTGACTCGTCCTAACCACTAGAAACATGTTCAAGTGACTATTGGCTTAAAAAGAACGAAAAGAGGAACCAGAAGACTTGCAAGTACTGGATGATTTGTTTGAACAAACCTTGAACTGAGATCGGCAGATCAGACATGTTCGCTGTGTGAAGTAACAGACCATTTGTTATAAATGACGGCTGAATTAGTGTCATACAAGGGAAAACATGTTGAGGCAAATGTCGATCATTTTCAATCACCATATATTGAAGATCTGCTAAAGCAGATAGAAGAAAGATCAATTGATACGGAAGAAAAGAGTGGATATCTCGAAAAAGATGTTTGATTTCAATACAATCTTTTTCATCTCAACGAATCGAACTCGAAATTTTCTACGACTTTCTAGTCAATTCTATTCGTATAGATGACATTAATGACAAGTATTTTAAAAATACAAATACTTGTTGATAAGCTCAGAGTAATAGAAACTTCGATAATTTGATGGAAACTCTTGTTGATATGTAAAAGTCATCTACTAAGATCTCTAATTAGCTTCCTGGAGGGAGATATTAATAAATCAGTTAAAGAAGATGTCATTTCAAACGTATTCATTTGCAATAAAGATGAGCACATCAGTCACAGGCGTTTTTTTTCTCTAAGTCACAATAAGGAAGCTAATTTGACATCATAGACCATAACTCCAATCTCATGTTGTACTATAATTTTCAAATCTCTCACATAAGGCTTCAAAGACGTAAGTACAAAAAAATTATGTTTCTTCTCTTTTTCTTATGGTAAACATTTATCCCATGACTAATTGGATTTGAATAACAAACGAACGTAGTTTATCAACGATACACCTTTCCTTTTCGTACGCGTTATCACAAAGTCAATTTATTGATGACATCATCACAGGCGAATGAGTAAACCAATAAACGGATGCACTGCACTATAAGTGCGTTTAAATAGAAGGAATAGGGCGTGTGCTTTTGATCCATTCGTTTGTTCATTACATGTTGATCAATGCTGAAAACGAGCCTATCGATATTGTCTATAAGCATTCTTGTTTATCTGTTTATTGAAAATATAAATCGCCGAACTTATGAATTATTAGACGAGATAGAACAACGTGGAAATACTTTTGTTGATACAACTGAAAAACGACTTCGACAGTTGATCAACGATACCATATATAATCTAAACAATCAAACAGCGGAACAAATAACTTCCATAATCCATGCAAACAAAAAATATATTCCTTTACAAAATCCTTATGGTGCCACCACTTGCACTGACTGGTTCGGTTGTCATAAAGGTTACTGCTGGGCAGGTTGTGCAGGCGCACTTCCTTCTCTGACCGGTCCTGAATGGTGCTATACTAAAACATCTGCCGGTAAAATGACATGTCAATTGGACGACGATTGTAACGGCTGTTGGCGATGTTCCAGTCCATGTAGTATTTAGTTAATAAAATTCCCTTTCTTGTATTCTTGTTCAAATAAACATATGCAAAACGATTGCACTAGAAATGATATTCATGCTTGATGGCTTTCGATTTCAAAATGGAATTCAGACTTCGAACTTTTCGATGTAAATATTATTGGTAGAATTCAATCATGCAAAATAAACGTACATCTAAATTTATTTTTTTCGAAGAAAAAGATACATAAACTGATTTTTCTTTATTTCTTCTCACAGGTGAATGAATGAAAGATCTAGAAATACGAGGGTATTTGATAATAATATAAAAGGTTTTATTCTTTTTGCTACTAAGTTTAAAGGTTGACTAAAAGTACGAAAGAGAAAAAAAAGATAATTTCGATAAAACTAGTTAATTCATCTCGATGATCATTTTGAATATCCACCGGTCAAATCTATTTTCCGTGATCTTTCTTGGCAATATATTTGATGAGATCGACAACACGATTTGAGTAACCGTATTCATTGTCGTACCTACAAAGAATAAACATGACTTATTTTTATTACGAAAAGAACAAATATTACCATGAAACGAGTTTAACGAAGTTGTCGTTGAGCGAAATACCGGCTTTGGCGTCGAAGATTGATGAGTGTGTGTCACCAATGAAGTCGGTTGAAACAACTTCATCATCGGTATAACCTAAGATTCCTTTCAATGGTCCATTGGAAGCTTCTTTAATTGCGGCACAGATTTCCTCGTATTTAGCCTAAAGCGAAACATTTAATTTTTATCATTTCGAGTGAAGAAAAAGAAACAAAATCAACGTACGCCTTTGCTCAAACGAGCAGTGAGATCAACAACCGATACGTTTGGTGTTGGAACACGGAAAGCCATACCAGTCAATTTGCCATTTAAATCAGGAATAACTTTTCCGACCTTGACAAAACGTCAAAATTCAAATGATCTGTCTACGAATAGAATTGCAATACATACAGCTTTGGCGGCACCAGTTGATGATGGAATAATATTTTGTGCAGCTCCACGTCCACCACGCCAGTCCTAAAAAAAATCACATCTTCGATACTCCATTCTTTCTCTTCTTAAACAAACTCTGCATACCTTGTTTGATGGGCCATCGACAGTCTTTTGTGTGGCTGTGTACGAATGTACAGTTGTCATTAAAGCTTCGACGATGCCAAATTTTTCATGAACAACTTTTGCGAGTGGTGCTAAACAGTTGGTTGTGCACGATGCATTGGAAAGAACAGTTTCTTTTCCTGTGTATTTCTCTTCATTGACTCCCATAACGAACATTGGAGCATCAGCTGATGGTGCTGTGATGACGACTTTTTTGGCACCGGCTTGAAGATGTGGTTGACATTTTTCAACTGTTGTGAATACACCGGTAGATTCGACAATGTATTCAGCACCTTTGAAATAAAGAAACGAAAAAAGACAATCAAGATGATTCATCGATCAAGGTCGAGAAAAACATACCGAGTTGACCCCATGGAATTTTGGATGGATCTTTTCTAAAAATAACGTATGAAATCAATCACATAGAAAATGTACTCAATTTGAGTTGTTTACTCAGTGAAAACGTTAATTTCTTTTCCGTCAACGATGAGTTTGCCATCTTTGTGTGAGACTTCGCCTTTGTATTTACCATGTGTTGAATCATATTTAAACATATAGACCATGTAGTCAGCAGGGATAAATGGATCTACAAACAATATATGATTATAAATAGAAATATGAGATCAAATTAGGTGTTTACCATTGACACCGACTACTTGAACACCTTGGGCGAGAGCGCATCGAAAAACGAGGCGGCCAATACGGCCAAAACCGTTGATACCGATTTTAACATCCGAGCCAGACATGTTTACCAGAAAAAGAAATAGCGCGTTTGGACTGTGCTAAGAGAAATGAAGAAAAAAAATAAGAGAAAGAAGCACAACTAGGGTAACGTACTTATAGGGAGAGATGGAGAGAAGTAGTTTCGCTGTTTGGTACTGCTGAGACAGAATTTCACGGAATGTATGTGGCGCCCTCTCGCGTATAGCTACCACATCTATACCTTGATAAGCAGATATCTTAATAGTGAAATAAGTTGTAGACAACTATAAATAATATTTGTGAACATTTGCTCATTGTTTTTCAAGTTGAACACTCTCAATGGTTAATTGTATAGTCCATCCGATTAACCCTGTATGTGTATGATTCATCTCTCTCTCTCTCGTATATGAAGAATCTTCTTTTCATAGACCTAAAAGCATGTTCAATTATCGTAGAATATCCTTTGTACAACGCTCGATTTCGTCGGGATTCAATGCTCGTCGTTTTCGATCTGCTCGTCGAACAGCCGTTCAATCATCAGTCTCTGACGGCAAACACATCATTACAGAAACTAAACCCGTTTCTTTAGATCATCTGTCACCTGTAGTTCGACAAATTCTATCTAAAGATCCATCCTATGCTGTTCGTTTCGGCGGACAATTATCAGACAATCAAAAGTATCTTGTCCGACAACATTCTCGAACGACGGGTCGAGCTGAAAGTCTCTTTTCACAAATAGAAAAAGATGATCTGATGTTATCGATAAATGAAGATGAAAAAGATTTACCTCATCCTCCAGTTGTTGCTTTTCCATCAGTTGAGAATCAATTCGAAATGGATTTAGGTACAGAAGACAAAACTGTACCCAGTCATGAAACAGCTCGTTGTTTTGGTTGTGGGGCACAGCTTCAATGTTCTGATCGAACGAAAGCGTAAGAAATCGATCTGATATATTGAGTATTGAATGTTCATGAAACATATTTCAGAGGCTTCATGCCAGTAGAAATCTTCAAGCATCACCTTTCAAGTAACTTACAAAAGCGAACAAGTCAATGCCAGCGATGTTTTCTCTATAAATATACAAATGAAATTTCACATTGTGAAGTTGATGAACAAGTCTATAGAGATATTCTGACAGAAATCAAACGAAAACGTGCGTTGATTATCTTAATTGTCGATCTTCTTGATATACCAAATTCAATTAGCCAATCATGGGCACATCTTGTCGACCAAACATCTGAGCGGACAAAGTCTTCATCGAATATTGTATTTGTTCTCGGCAATAAAGTTGATCTTTTGCCAAAAGGTATGTTTATTTTAGAACTTTTCTGTAGATTTTCTTTGTATTATTTTATCATAGACAGCGAATCATATCTATCCGATGTACGAAAATGTTTGGAAACTGAGTGTACAAAACGTGGTTTGGGAAAGCACTTAGTCAAATATTATGGTTTAATCAGCGCCCGAACGGGCTATGGAGTTGAAGAACTGATTTCAAAAGTTTTTCGTTATTGGTCACAACATGGTTCGTTTTCCAATGTTCTTTGCTTTCGAAAAATATCGAGCGTCTATTTCGACCAGGTGGTGTTTATCTACTTGGTGGAACTAATACGGGCAAGAGCAGTTTATTCAATAGTTTAATTGATTCAGATCTGTGTCATATTCATGCACTTGATTGCGTTCAACGTGCCACCATATCGAATCTTCCTGGTAAGAAACGAATCGAAAAGAATGTTTGAAAATCTTCTCGCTTTTACTCAGGAACGACAATGAATGTACTTCGATTTCCAATTCAATTACGAACGGGGAAAAATCAGTTCATGCGTGCAGAACGTTTGAAAGAACGCGAAGAAAACGAAAGAATGTTAGATGATACTAAAACGGAGTCCATTGAAAATGAAACAACAGTTGTCGGTAAGTTTTGCAACGAACTGAAGAACAAGATTGATGCAACGGGGGAAAGGCGTCTCTAGGAAATATCGAATCAACGGTGAAATGGCGTCGTCGATTTGAGTCTGAAATGAATCTGCCAAAAAGTGGAGCATCGTATACGTATTCGTCTGGAAGAGATTCGTTTGATGAAGATCGTTCATTTCTCTCACGTGAACATAATTATATCAATTATCGACAAAAGAAAATGCGTGCGTTCACTCCTGAGTCATACAAAAATGAAAAATGGCTTTATGATACACCCGGTGTAATTCTATCTGAACAGGTAATGAGTAATTTAACGTGTACATTACCATTTTAATTGCTTTTTATATTTTGTCTGTTGAAGATCTCAAATAAATGTAGTAGTCGAGAAGAATTAGCATTTTTCGATCATCAATCAACAGTTATTCGTCCAGTGAATATTTTATTAAACGTTGGTCAAACAATATTAATTGGGGGAATCGCAAGAATTGACGTTAAACATGTTCGTTTACTAATCTTGGTTTACCATGAATTGAATATTCATTGTTTTCAGATAAGCGAAAACGCTCGAGCAAGTCTTTCTCTAATGACAACATCTCGGCTACCAATAAATGTGATTGAAACAAAAGATGCGGAGCACTTTTATGAAAAAGCATTGGAAAACAATCAACTTGGTGTAAGCAATTCACTCTATGATTAGATCCAAAGGAAAAGCATAATTTTATTTTGAAAAGGTTCCTCAAAATCGTATCAATGGTCGACTTCAAGATCCACCTCAACTTCGTGGACCAACCATTGAAATTCTTGGAATTGGAGAAGAAGAAGCAGCTGGAGATATCGTCCTATCATCCGCAGGTAAATATTCTTTCATCAATATTGCAACGAGACCTTCCGAGACAATGCAATATTTAGGATGGGCGAGTGTTCAATGTAGTCGTGGTCAATATGTCATATTTGATGTAATGACACCAGATGGTCTTGGTATACATCTTCGACAACCAGCGATACTTAGGAATTTATTTCATTTACGTGGTTCACACATAGAACAAACACCATTCTTCAGTAAACATTCTTACGTAGAAGATCAAAACGAATGTGATGCTGATGATGACGATCGAAAGCAATCGAATGAACTTGAAATGATCATAAATGAAAAACTATGGAAAGGGGAACAAACTAAGCATCGACGACGAGCAAAACGCACATAAATACTTGTCTCATATATTTTGTTATTGTTTTCAATTTTTTTCCGTTGAATAAAATAAAACAAATATATGATTTATTTTCGAAAAAGACTCTATTGAATTTGATGTCAAAGTCAGATGACGATATAAACGAAAACAATACCGTGATGTATCACACATGTATAACTTGAAACTTGAATCAATTATTCATTCAACTACTCAAGAACGAGAGTGTCACGAATGGCGTATCCTAAGAATAATTGAATTCAAGTTTGACGTTACTGCTTTTGTCGTGACATCTTCTGTCGGGAATGATTATCAAAAGCAACTAAAATGGATTGCTATCCTGTTATATGTTTTTTCAAGTTTGCATTCCATGCTGTATTACTGTGCTATTTACTTTACCTAGATATCTTATAGCAATATTCTGAGTGGTTTAATGGCAAGGCCATTCATAAGGTTGAATGATTCATCATTCTGTCATATCGAAGGTGGCAGATATGCTGTTGCAATTGCAACAGAAAACAATCCTTTATCCTACATGTGAAATTACAAAATTAGTCTGTAAATACGTCGCACTGATGGTTGTTGTCAGAAACATGCTCTTATGTTTTCGTGCATGTTACAATGTGTGCTTTGTCGAGCTACTGAAAAGTCATGTATACATTGCAAATTCGTATAAAATTCTCATTACCCTTAGCGTGTGCTTGTGATATCTATACACGATGTGACGATGTATTTTCAGATCTACAAAGCGAATATGAATAGTTCATTTGCTGAACAATTAGCAAATGTGAAATTGAAACCGAGTAAAGATAGAACAAAAGACTTTAGTGATCCAAAATTAGCAGGTAAATAGTTCTTGACTTGTTTAATGTTTTCACTTATTTACCAAGAATCCTATTCTTATCATCAATCCAATTAGGTTTCATCACAAAAGATCAAATCAGTTCTTATCAAAAGGCAGCTTTAGAAGCGAACATAGAGGAATGGCAAAAGTTACTTGTCAACGGTAATTTAGACAAATGCGATTCTTTATTTGAGTCACATATTTAGAAACATTTCCAACTGTATATTTTCCAATCACATACTCCGATGCAAAACATTTTATTCGAATATTTGAGCGACATTTTCAAAAATTGCATGAACATCAACTATTTGATGAGATTCGCAATCGAATGGAGTCATGTCTTAATGATGACGAAGAAGAAAATTTGTGGTATGAACAAATAAGAGATCGTCTACAAACCACTATTGATCAGCATTTTTCGAGTCAAAATGGTTTCTTTGCTAAAACGTCATCACGAAGCGCCAAAGATGCTTGCATATTCAAAAAAGGTTTCCTTCAAATCTACAAAAATGAATTAGAAAAATTCTCTGACCCATCTCAAGAAAACTCTCGTATCGCGGCACTTCTAACTGCCGCATTCCTTGCATTGCGAATGACGTGCGCTGCAGATGTTCTTTCCACATTTATGATCAGTGAACGTATCTATCAAGACATGTTATTAGCGACGGAAGCACAGAATCCATCAGACGACTTGTTCAAAGAAAATATTATTCTTCGACCATTCAAACCCATTGACGTCGACATGGAATTCAGGGGTTTTGTTTATCAACAACGCTTAACTTGTTTATCACAGTACAACTATCTCATCTATTCTTCACGTCTTCATCAATGGAAAGATGAGATCCTTGATAAAATTAAAGTGTTTTTCAATGAAACTGTGGCAACTAAACTAAAGACATATCAATCACAAGATTATATCATCGATTTTGCATTGGCTAGAGGTGGTGAGTTGACTTTTTCGATTACCGCATGACTATTGTCTATTCTTCTAATTGAACTAGTAGATGATGATGATGCTGATGCTAATGATGTCCGTTCGATGAAAGTGTGGGTGATTGAACTGAATCCATTCATGGAAACAACTGACGGAGCTCTCTTCAGTTGGCAACACGAGAAGCAGCTACTACAGGGTGAATCTTCTGACAACAAGACAAAAACACTGTTTCGCATAACAGAAAAGGCTCGGCCCGGCTCATGGAGTATGCTACCCAACTCCATTCGACAATGGATAAAAAACGACGATAGTGTTTGAACAATGAAGTCTTGTTTTATCGATAATGAACTATCTTTTGTTGAACCACTAGATGATCAGAAGATTTGCAAAAAATAGAATATATAAACTGACATAGATTGGAGACTAACATATGCACGGAGGCTTGGTGGAGAAGGATGATGTGATTTGTTACATATGAAAAATTTCATTGAAGCAATAAATCAAACACGAAAAGATTCCAAGTGTGTCCTATTCATTCGATAGAAGTTAAGAGAACAGCTTCGTTGAACGCAAAAACCTGTTCCACTCGAGTATTGCAAACAGACGCAATCTTGAGAATGATATCTATGACAGCGCGCGATGTTAAATGCATTAATCAGTTATCGTACAGATCATCAAAGTCAAGTGAACAAGTCAATTTGTATTACCTGTTCAACTGAAATCTCTTATTCTCGAGCTCCAATACAGTTAACAGAGACATCTATTGGAAATCGTTTCTCTACACATACAATCGAGCGAAACACATAGATAAACCATGGACAGAAATGAATTGCACATTTGCCGTTAAATTCACTCAGACTCATTAAATATCTCTTCTATACCTGTACAAATGTTTCAACTCAGACAAAAGATATCAAGTTAGTAAGGTTGCTGCAATTTATCGTCTTCGTTCACTGATCAACACGGAAATTCTCTTCCTTTTCAACAACAACTAAGGACAGATCGTTTTCTAATTCTCACTTTTCTAGGCTCGTTTCACTTTACCCGATGTTTTCTGGTAAATACTCACCGATAGTTCGGTGTGTCTTTCTGCCCTTGAACGAAATGTCAACATTTGGTACCGTTCGCCATTCCTCAACTAACTTAAGTGCACAAATGAAAAAACTCGTTGACTCCA